ATATATATATATATATATACATACATATATATATATATACATACATATATGTGTAGCATCGTAATCGGGCTCGATGACCGAACCCGAACGCTCGGTACCGAGCCCAAACGTGGCCCAAAATAGACCAAACCCGAACAGTTTTAATTAATTAATTAATTTATTTATTTTATATATATATAGGGGTTGGGGGGCCCTAAGGGGCATCACTCATCACTCCTAAACGTACACACACACACACACCATACACACACACCCCTAGACACCCCATAGACACCCCACACACACCCTACACAGCATATACACATGAGGACGCGCTCGAGAGCCCCCTAATTTGCGCTCGGCCGAACATGTTCGGTTCCCGCTCGGTCGAGCGTCTGAACACGTTCGGCTGCTCGGTGGATCGCCGAACATGTTTGGTGTGCTACACAAATATATATATATATATTTATTTATTTTTTTGCTTATTCTTTTTCAGGGAAAAAATTATTCCCGCGTCCGCTCAAACTGCGCTCAAGCGCTCTTGAGCGCGGGATTGAGCGGAGCTCAAAAATTTGAGTTGCAACCCCGCGCTCAATCAGCGCGCGGTAACACAGTCCTCAACCACGCGAGGGTGAACAAAGTCGCCCTGCGAGCCGGAGTCTCATAAAACGCGGTACACCCTCATAGATGTCCCTAAGCGGATAAGAAACATGGGGAGGGTGCGATCATTGTCAGAGGGCGGAGTGAGAAGATGATGCATGATGTTTACGTGTCCCGTGAGTCGCTCCTAACGAGCCTGAAGAATGCTAAAGTCCGGGAGGGATGACACAATGTCATTGCGAGTCGCCAACTGAGTGCTACAATGAGGTGTGCGAATGACGTGACATGTCGGAAGTTTAAGAGGGGAAGGACTAGATGCGGCGGTATGCTGTGGGGCAGACGGTACCTCGACAAATGGAGGGGCAGAGGGAACTGCGTCTATTATGTCTTGAGGATCCTTGGGCGAGGTAGCCAAAGGGGCAAACCGCGACTCGGTGGTCGGGAAGCTGGCTACGTGCGGTGCCTCTGTGGTACAATGTACAGTGACTAGTTGGATGGGGCTGGCCGTGCGGGGCCGGGGCTGGACTGAGATCGGCGCTGGCAAGAAATGTCAGTATAATGCCGATTGAGGGGGAACTTTTGTCCCAAAAAAAAAAAAAAAAAAAAAAAAAAAAGTGCGGCATGGTATGGACAACATGAGGAGGTGTGTCCATCCTGGTAGCAACGAAGACAACCGCGAAGAGCCTCGAGGATGGCGCACTCCTCAGGGGATAGAGCTCTGCGAGGAGGAAGGAAACCCTGCGGGAGGTCTATCCTCAGGGACCACGAACGTGCGGGCGCCAGCCTCAGCAACCGAACTGCACGCATGACCCCTGGCGGACATGGTCATCTGTAAGCTATCGGCCACCGAGACAGTGTCGTCATCCAAGTGGTGTTGGGTAACCTCCCGAAGCTCGATGTCCTCAGGGGCGTCCCTAAGGGTAAGGTCGAGCTCGGTTGAGGCGTCCTCGCCATACTCGAAAGAATTGTAGGGCCGAGAGAATGGTGCTCCAGGTTGAGCTGGTCGGCGAAAGCGGCCGATGAAAGAGGATCGACTGCGAGTAGCACCACGTGACTGGGTGGCAGCGGCGGTGGATCGCAAAGAAGATGGGGCGTTGGAGAAGCGACTCCGCATCTTCTTGCACTGTCGAGCAGCAGTGCCGGTCTCATGAACGTGACCGACATTGGTCACATGAACGTGACCGGCCGGTCACGGGAGCCGAAATCCGTGAACGGGCGTTCATGGCAGCCGTTCACGTGATTTCCGCCCACGTGGAGGCGGGAACTGACGGGATGGTACTCTCTTGGGCAGGTGAGYAGTAAGGGGTTGGTTGGGTGCATGGTGATACCGTGGCAGTCCTATGGTGGGGAGGTTTGCCTTGTAGGGAAACCTATGTCGAATCAAGAGGTGTGTCCTACTCTCAATGTCTGTGGACCCATTTTGGGGTGGTGGGTTATCAGAGGTAGGTTGGGGGTAGTTGTTAGACGATGGTCGAGGTCTCCACCATTACCACTGGTTGATTCTCCCTAGCGAACAGACATAAGCAAGGCTCATCAGATGCAGAAAGCAACCACACACATCCACATAGACTACGATATCACATTAGCTCACATAACAACCAGCATACTCRACAACTAACAGTAGACATATATGATCCGAGCTGTGCTAGGTTAGTGCTTAGAGGGGCTCATAGGTTAAGACCTTGGTTAGTTGACCATTAGACACTGCCTATGAGTGCCCTCACTACTCACGGGACTAGCTGAGAACTGTGTGCCTAGCTCCCTAGGTTCCCGTATAACGAGGCTTGTACGCTAGTGCCTCAACTGGGGCTGAATGGGGGAGCTCATTCAGCGTCGGTGCCCGCGTCCGCTGTCTGGTCAGGTTGCTCCAGTAGGGAGTGATGTTCCTTGCATGATGTAAGATAGAAATGGAGTGGGGGTGTGCCAGCAGATATATATGGAGAGGAGTGGTGGTGGGATAAGGGTTTTCGTGAGTAATTGAAAAAAAAAAAAAAAAAAAAAAAAAAGAAAGGACTTGTTCGTTTGGAGTTCAGAAAGCAGAAAAAAAGGGTCCGGTCGCAGTCACTGTCCCTAAGACCGGTAGCCCTGGAGGTCGTTGTAGAGTGTGGAGAGGAACGACGGTGGTACACTGATTTTGAAAAGGCGTCGGGCTTTCCTCTCTTTTTTCTTCCTCTCTGAATTTCACCTTTCATTGACCTACCTACCACTACTCCTAAGCCTATAGAGGGGATCCCTGCAAGCATAGCTACCTCTGACAATCGGCGATGGCAAGGGAGTAGGGGGGGGGCGCCGACGCGAACCCGCCCCCATGGAGTAACAGCAGGGTCTACGGCAAGCACTCTCCCATACACCACACAAAACACCCCCTCTCCCTGATGGCCAAACCCTACGATACGAGGGGAAGTAAGCCCACTATTTCATTTGGTTGGCACCAAGAGTGCGCGGAGGTGCATTGAACCCACGCCTCGTGAATGCCACTTGCGTGCCTAACTAGTACTTCCTAAAGTTCAAAAAAAAAAAAAAGAAAGTACTTCCTAAAGTCGTGCCCGTTAACAAGCGGCGATTTTAGGAAACGTACAGGCCACTACAGGAGCGCCCAGATTCATCCAAATCTGACTAGAAACGTTTCTACTCTACTTTTTTTCGGTCGCCAAAAGCTGGGCCAAGTACTGGTGGCTTGCTCATCTTTTGGAGGAAGGGTGCACGGATGCGTGACGGGCTATCGGTAGGCCCCGCCCTGGGTTTCCCGTTCGGCATGAGGGTCGACGGCCCTGCGCGCAGGGGTGGGGTGTGGTTGTCACCGCCGATGGCGGTGGCAGTTAGTTGCGCAGGTGTTGGTGAATGGTGTGCCCAAGGTGTGGAGCAAGCGGAGGGGCAGAGGGTTGCATTCGGTTCTGCAGGGGTTCACCCTGGCGTGGCATTCGGGTCTGCAGGGGCTGACCCTGGCGTGGCATTCGGGTCTGCAGGGGTTGACCCTGGCGTTGCATTCGGATCTACAGGGGTTGACCCTGGCGTTGCATTCGGATCTACAGGGGTTGACCCTGCGTTGCATTCGGTTCTGCAGGGGCTGACGACCGTGTATCGTCGAGCGCCATGGGCAATGCAGCTGGGGCGATTGATGAAGCGGTTGGCCCCAAGCCCGAGAAGTGCGAGGACGACAAGAAGAAGACGAGCAAGATGAAGAGGAGAATGAGAAAAGAGAGAAGAACGAACGGTGGGAACAAAAATAAAATAAAAGGTAAAGGAGAGGAGTGGGGCATCGATGGAGTATATGAGGTTCTCGCTTGGTGATGATTAGGACGGTGAAGGAAGACGCAGTAGCGTGGGCGTGTGCAGCTTCCGTGAAAGGTACGGCGTTTTTTCTCACACACGACCACCACCACCACCACCACCTGGTATCCATCACGTGCCTGCTGTTCTTCTTTCTGTCCTTCGTCTTTACGACTTCTTTTCTTGCAGTTTTGGCTGGCATCTCGTCCTTCTCCACCTAATTCTCAACCTCCTCGTTTTGTTCTTTCTCTATCCGGCGAAAATCCTGTCGCAGGAGTCTTTGCACTACTACTACTAGTATCAGCAGCAGCAGCAGCAGAAGAAAAAGAAGAAGAAGCAGAGGCTCTCTCTCTCTCTCTCTCTCTCTCTCTCTCTCTCTCTCTCTCTCTCTCTCCCCCATATGTGTGACTGCTGTGTTACCCCTGTATGATGCTGAGTGTGTCCGTAGGCTGTACATTCTCTCTCTCTCTCTCTCTCTCTCTCTCTCTCTCTCTGTGGATGTGTGACTACTGCGTGACGCTGAGTACGTCCGTGTTCTCTCTCTCTCTCTCTCTCTCTCTCTCTCTCTCTCTCTCTCTCTCTGCGTGTACTAGGGGACGGCCCTCCGCAGTCGGTCGATAAAAAAATAAAAAACTAATAAATAAACAAATTCCTATTGTTCTCAAAATAGAAGAACGGGAAAAGAGGAACGAACGAAGAACCGCTTCGTTTCGTTTCGGAAGACCTTTTTTTTTTCTCTACTTTTCTTTTTTGAAACACGATTTAGCATACAGGGGAATTGCAACTCTTAAGAATAACAGAATATCGTTGGAAAATAGTTGGCCAGAATTATTTGGAAAACATTTCCGATTACGAAAGGAAATGAAATCGAAAACAAAAGTGGCCATTACCCGAAACAATTTGGGAGGAAGAAAAAATGACGGCGATCGATAGCGCATCAACAAATTTAATGCGATCGTTTCTTCCCCTCCCCCCCCCAGCTCCCCAAAGACAATCGTCTGTCGATCGAACCGCGCCCGGGCGAGCGACCACTGATGCCCACAAAACTTTCGCACGTGGTGGTCGAATCACGTGGCTTAGCTCCCACTGGTGACGACGACGAGTTATCGCACCTGGCAGCGCCACGCGGCTCACTCTCCAATCCAAAATTCGTTGCGATTTGTCACGAATAAAGAGGTACTAAAGAGGTAAACTTATTATCGATCGAGCGCCGCCGCTCGATTTTCCTTGATGATTAAAAAGCATTTTTCTTATAGATCGTTGTCTTTGCTTGCTTGCTTGCTTGCAGGGTCCTGTGCGGTCTTGAGAACAGGTGTTGGGGAAAGTGTTGGAGGACGGATCGACGGAGGATTCGAAGGACGGACGACAAATGACTGAGGCGTTTCCCAGGGAGACGGTGGAGAGACACCTCCTGGCCCGAGGTGCACTGAGGGAGACTCTGGCCGCAACCATCAGTCTTTGAGAGCGTAGTGGTGATCCTCCTGTGGCTGTTGGTGTTGGACGAATGTGTGACTGCTCTCAGCCTATGTAATTATAGCGTGACGGGTTTTCTTTCTGTGCTTTATTTACAGCAGCAGCCTAGCAATAGGCGCGCAGCGCAGCGCTGGTCTGGTTGTGTACACAGTCAGCAGACGGGAAGGAGCCACCAATCTTTTCCTTCTTTCGTACCTTCTGCTTTTACCACGCGATATTTGGGTACCTAGGAAGAAGAATCCGGAATAAATATGTGATATCTTAATTTCTTTGTTTAGCTCTCGCCTGGGAGAGAGAGAGTGGTGCTCGTCAAGCTTTCAACACGCTACACAAGCTACAGATATGGCGGCGGCGTCCTTGTCTGCTCCCGCTGGCCAATTGTACGTCGCTGTCTCTGGTTCGTCCATCTCGTCATTACGCCATGATTCTTCCACTGCGTCCTGCGCCGCGACGATGGCCTGTTGTCACGACGTGCGCCCAGCCCGTGTTTCGCCTCTCTCTTCTGACGTCGATGCTCGGAGCTCATGCAGGATCGCGTTGCCTGGTCTAAACGCATTCCATGGCCTGCGCAGCTGCAAAGATTATCTTCTGTCTCCTGTTGGCGGCACAAGAAGCCTGTCCTTTGCAGAGCAGATGGAGTCGCTGCGTCGTCCCTCGACAATGCGTCCCAGCAGAGGGGTTGTCTCTTGCGAAACAGGGATGAAGCTCGTGTTTGTCTCGGCCGAGGTAGGGCCTTGGAGCAAGACGGGTGGCCTCGGCGATGTATTGGCTGGATTACCGGCCGCGCTTGTTGCCCGTGGCCATCGGGTGATGACGGTGGCTCCTCGCTATGATCAGTACAGGGACGCTTGGGACACCGATGTCACGGCGGACGTTGTGGTGGGTGGGAGGACAGAGACCGTGCGGTTCTTCCACTGCCGYAAACGTGGKGTCGACCGYGTTTTCGTGGACCATCCTCTCTTCCTCGCCAAGGTATGGGGCAAAACGGGCAGCAAGATCTACGGAGAGACAACTGGCAAAGATTACCCCGACAATCAGCTGCGCTTCAGTCTGTTCAATCAGGCGGCCATTGAGGCTGTACGAGTTCTCACCTTCAACGACGGCAGCAACCCTCGCTTCCAGGGTCCCTATGGCGAGGATGTGATCTTTGTGGCGAATGACTGGCACAGCGCGCTTGTTCCTTGCTACCTCAAGAGCAARTACAGACCRCGCGGGGAGTTCCTGAAYGCCAAGGTTGCCTTCTGCGTGCACAACGTTCTTTATCAGGGCCGTTTTGCTGCGGCGGACTTCGACCTCCTCAACCTCGGGGAGGAGCTGCGGCCCTCCTTCAGCTTTCTTGACGGATACAAGAAGCCTGTCGTTGGACCCAAGATCAACTGGATGAAGGCAGGGTCCGAGGAGGCAGATATGCTGCTCACCGTAAGCCCTAACTATGCCAAGGAGTTGGTTTCTGGGGAAGACAAGGGCATGGAGCTCAATTACGTGGTGGAGAGGAGGGGTATTCTCGGCATCGTGAACGGGATGGACGTGCAAGAGTGGGACCCCGCGTCCGACAGGTACCTTGAAGTCAATTACGACGTTTCCAACGTTCTGGAAGTCAAGCCTGGACTGAAGGAGCTTCTCCAGGGTGAGGTGGGGCTACCTGTTCGTCCGGACGTGCCGCTGCTCGCCTTCATCGGCAGACTAGAGGAACAGAAGGGCTCGGATGTGCTGTGCGCGGCTCTTCCCAAGCTGATGCAGGGGGAGAACGAGCTGCAGATGGTCGTGCTGGGAACAGGGAAGAAGACGTTTGAGTCGGAGTTGAAGGCCTTGGAGCAGCGGTACCCGGAGAGGTTCCGTGCCGTGTGCATGTTCAATGCCCCTCTGGCGCATCTGCTCACGGCTGGGGCGGACTTCATGGTCATTCCCAGCCGGTTCGAGCCTTGCGGCCTCATTCAGCTACACGCCATGCGGTATGGCACGGTACCAATCGTTTCTGCCACGGGAGGACTCGTTGATACGGTGACCGAAGGGGTGACCGGATTTCTCATGGGGGACTCTTCGTTCGATGTCCGCTGCGACCGCGTCGATCCGACAGATGTTGCGAAGGTGGYGGAAGCCGTGCGCAGAGCGACCGAGGTGTATGGCACACCCGAGTTCGAGTCCATGATCCTGGCAGACATGGCCCAAGATCTATCCTGGAAGGAACCTGCGAGGCAATGGGAGGAAGCGTTGCTCAGCTTGCATGTCGTTGGTGCCCACCCGGGAGTGGACGGAGAGGAGATCGCCCCGAAGGCATTGGAGAACGTTGCCACGCCCTGATGACTCAGGGCAAGCTTGGAGTGTTGAGGAATTCCCTAACCGCGTGTGCGTGCGAGTGGAAGGCGACCAGGTCCTTCACAGCCGCACCACAAGAGTGTGGGGGACCTGCCTGAATGCTAGAGGTAGTGTTCCCAGGTTGAATGGGGCCAAGGACTGGCCAAAGGGGGGGAGAAGGAACGGTAGTAGTGTAGTGTACTTGTTGCTCCATTCTTCTGAGCAGGACAGCACTGAGTATTTTCATGCATACGAAGGATTTGCGTCTTTTACCTGTCCTTGAAAGTTTATGGATAGATAGTTTTAAAAGTAGATGTAAGACACATGTTGATATGAAGATCGTGGTGCAAGGGAACTCCAGGGATTCGCGGGGGTTCCTTTTGCCCGTCGTGTATTCTGTATTGGACGTTTCATTTGGGCCTCTGTTTTGTTCGTTCATGATATCATGAGGATATAAGTTATACATGGAATGAATGATGCCAGTAAATCTGCGTTTGCCAGATGGCTGGTGCCCGTTTTAGGGTTATTACAGTTGATGGCCACAGTGAGGGCCAGTTGGTATGGTGGTAGGTGAGCTGTGTCACCGCCAGAGGACAGAGGATATGATCACACATTTTACTTGCTCTCCAGAGGATACGGTTAGGAAGACAATAATTAGAAATGCAGTGAGGAAAGGGGAAGCTATATGTTTGAATAGTTTATCGTGGGTATGTGTTCGACCCAGTTTTGCTTGCTCTGTAGGATCTAGTTAGGAAGACACGAGTGACGAGTTGGAAAATAGATCAGGTGTTCAGTGACAGGGGGGGAGGAGTTAGGCGAGTTGTTAGTCCAGATCGTTGACAATTTTATGGCATTGTTTTTGGGCAGAGGTTTGCGACTTCTGTTTTCTCCGTAGGATATATGGTGGGGAATCCGATGTGTTTCATGCAGCGTTTTTTGCTCTGTAGGATATGGTTGGGAAGAAGACATGAATAGGAAGATAGAGCAGTTCTTCACTGACAGGGTGGGGAGAGGTACACGAGTTATTTCGGAGCATTGACATGACATTTTCATGAATTTTCATCGCAATTGCGTGGATGAACATGAAAGCAAATCATACAATGTCTCAATTGTAAATTACTGTGCTCAAGGAATTGGCTTTATGGGGCGTTGTTCATGGCTTTCGTCACGCTGGTTGGTTGATTGAGTCAGACTTGTCCTCCTTTCATCTTGCTTTCAGATATGGTGCGTTATTCATGGCGTTCGTCACACAGGTTGGATTATTGAGTCAGATTTGTCCTCCTTTCATATGGCTTTTAGATTGTTGGAAATGGAAGTGACTAGGTTCATGTTGTATTTTTATCCATTGAATTTTGTTAATGTACTCCATAGATTTTATGTATACGGTATTTGCGATTCTAATGCTCAGCAAAGCTCACTGTGGACAGTTTCACTCTTGGGTTTTGTGTAGTTACTGGTGTATAACTCGCTTTTGGGTTTTGTGGTGTACAACTCACTCTTGGGTTTTGTGGCGTGTAACGCACTCTTGGGTTTTGTGGCGTATAACTCACTCTTGGGTTCCGTGAATTCATGGATGGAATTCGAGGTGTTATGCAATCATTGCTGGTCTGTTCCATCTGTATACGTCTCTGTATCGCAGTGTCTGTACCTTTCTTTTTCTGTCGGCCTCTGTGCGAGAGTCTTTGTACACGGGTATGACTGCAGGGCTGAATTTCTGTCTGGCTCTCTGTCAACAACAACTAATCTCTCTTCCGTGATCCGCTGGCAATGTTGGCATTTTCTTTGAGTTTGCGGGTCAGTCTGTGCCCTTTTGCATGTGCCTCGTTTGTCTCCATATTTGTCTCCCTCTTTTTCCGTGTCTTTCCCAAATTCCCACCCCAGACCTGAGTAGCTGGAAGTTATTCCAATGAGGGTCCCGCATAGAATCTTTGAACGGTCGTCGAAACTGCGGTAAAACGGTGTTGAGCTGCCCGTTTATCCCGGTTCAGCGTGACCCGGGGGTAAATTTTTTCTCTGGGAAAAAAATAGCAAAAAACAAACCTAAAATTGTAGGGTCATAGATCTTTTCAAGCTCTATAACCCTTTTTATTTATTGTTTGAAGTTATGCTATATTTCAAAAAAATCAAAAACATATTTAAAGAAAGATGAAATGGGTGGGTTTTTCTTTTCTTTTACAAAGATTGTTTTGTGGACAGCAAAAGATATATCCTCTTTTCCCTCCCTACCAACGGTTCACAGGGCAGCTCTGTTTGACGATATATATATCGTCAAATAGAACTGCCCGGTAAACCGTAGGCAGAGAGGGAGAAGAGGACAACAAACGAGGGGCTGTGACAAACTGTTTCGTCGGAGTTTCACCGACTCTATAGGGCCACCAGCCTGTATGTATGGAGATCCCCGGGCTGACCTCCGTAAGTACGGGCGTTCCGGGTCCCGTTTGGGATCCGAACGCGACGGCGTTTGGTTCCCGCCAAAAATTATTTTGGGGCCTAAAAATACGTTTTTGTTTCTGCAATTTTTTTCTGAGCTCTCTATGATGTGCAAGGAAAATAAGCAACAGCGAGATGACAATCCCAAATCACACCATCAGATTGCAAGTCAAATAGTCACACCGTGTCCAGATAGCAGCATTGCACCAATAATACACCAATGGAGTTTCGTAGCACTGAAAACCAATGTCTGTGGAGAGCACACTCTCTCCTCTCAACAAAAGAGTCCAGTTCCCTTACACTCACACTTGGCGCTCAACGCCCAGCCTACTCCTACACAGCTACTACAGCCTACAAAAAGACAATGCAACTGTTGACATCAGCAGCAGCCCGAAGTACTTGAAGATGCCGCCCATGCAGACCATCGCCAATACAAGGTACGTGCCCTCACATCATCATCATCATCATCATCATCCTTCACCTATCCCCTGACTTCACCCACACCTGTCCTCTCTGTCACCCGAAGACCACCCCTGTGCTTCACTGTAGTCCAAGCCCACCAGCTATGGTGGCTGGGCTATGGCGCTGCCCTCAGCAGCGCCCTCCTCCTCTGCACGACCGCACGTGCTGCACCTCGCCTTCCAGCGCTAGCAGCAGCCTACGAGCATTAGCTCCAGCAGCGCTGCCGCCCAGCATGCGAGTGCCTGAATGAGGCAGCCAGGGCCGAGCTCTTTCCTTTATGGAAAGAGTTGGCCTGCTCACGCAGCCTGGCTGCCTTGGCCTGGGCCCAGAAGCTTCCGGAAGGCCTCACGAGGCTGCCTGGATGCAGCAGCTACTGGGCTGCTGGGCCTCGTTCGGTTGGGCGCCCAACTGTCTCTGTATGAGGCTGCGAATCACGGCCAGGGCCTGCATTCTTTGGAAAGGCCCGGTAGGCCGTGGAAATGTCCTTGTTGCTCGGCCTGTGTTTCTTTCAACCAACTGGCGCGTCGCAACTGCCTGAACCCCAAATACGAAATTGAAAGTCGAAGGCCTTTTGCAAAAAGCCAGGCCCGCCTTCACTTAGGGCGGGCACCTCTACCTTCACTTAGGCCGGGTAAGGCTGCTGACAGGGCCCCATAGGCCTACCGAGGACCCTGATCCTCGCAGATGTGACGTACATGCCTATAAATTTTGAAGTCGTTTGGCTAAGCCAAACAAAAATAAACAATTGCCAAAGATAACGGTGTCAAAACGTGCTCGCCCACTCACTATTTTGTTTTCTTTCACTTTTTACTTTTTGTTTTCACTTTATTGCCGGGCCTAAACAATTTTATTATTTTTTGAAATATTTTTGATGCGTTTTGTATTATGTGAAGAACACATCTGTAAATTTTCAGGGCATTTGCATCTGCCAAACAAAAATTAAAGATCGCCAAACATGGTGGTGTCGAAAACATGCTCGCTCACTCACTAATTTTATTTCTCTTTTTATTTCATCTTATTTTTATTACTAGTTCTATTTTTTGTATTTTATTTTTATTTCAACATTGATAAGGAATTTGGATGTAATGCAAAACAAATGTTGTTTATTTTATTTTTCTCCATAACATATCTTCTTTTCACATTTTTTTGAATTGTTTTTTTTATTTTTTTTATTTTTATTATTATTATTATTTTTTTTTTTTGTTCGTGTTTCGGCCGAACCGCCAAACACATCCCCAAGGGGTTCCGTACGTTCGGGCGTTCGGCCCATCCTGAATGCCGGTTACCCTATATGTATATATCGTTACAAACAGATATATATATATTTGACGATATATATATATATATATATATATACGACTTGTACTCACCCTCATACGAGTACGAGTCGTACTCCTTACTTGTACGCTAGGGCCGGTAGGACTTTTTTATTTTTTTTTATGGTTCGTGTTGTTTATCTCAAATTATAATAAGATTCTGAAGATGATGCTCGGCCAAATGTTGCTTGTATTGTCCTATTGCAGCACATATTTGTTTTTTGGATTTTTTTAATGACTTTTTTTTTTTTTTTTTTAACTACAGGGATGTACAAGACGTAAAGGTTCCCGTACAGATATTACCTGTACGTTTCGTACGGAAAGGCCCCGTACATGTGCGGTCGGTAACGTAGTATATATATTTTGCCCACAAAACAATTGTGGGTGGGTGGGTGGGTGGGCGAG